GAGAGAGAGAGAGAGAGAGAGAGAGAGAGAGAGAGAGAGAGAGAGGAACAAAGAGCCTCCGTGAGCGGCTGGCATGGCGCTGGCGCCCCTCTCCAACGCTCCACGCACCACAACACGGCCTCGGTGTTTGGGGGACCGCGAATACGAGGGCTAGATTCTTACGTCTTACGCACCATCCGCCAGAACATTTTCTGTGAAAACCACTTGATTCGCTTCTTCGATGGTGGCCGGCCAGTGACGGTGGGTTATACTCGGCAAAAACTATCGCGAACAACTATTTAGAGGGCGCGCGGGTGAGCAGGAGCATCCGCCGGAGCTCTAGATGAAAAAAAAAAAAGACTCCTACTTCTCCTTCTTTTGGTCCTGCTGCTGCTTCTACAGTACCGCCGTCGCCTCGGAGATTACATGAAAGAACACGACTCGTCATAGCCTGAATAGTATCGCGGACGCCTTTCGTAGTGGACAGAGAGGCCTGATTTTATCATGGCTGCTTGATAGAGTTTCTTGGAGGTTAGGTGACGATTCCGGCACCTCGGTGTAAGTAGGAAAGAGTATACTTCGTATATACTAGAATACCCCCCCTCCTCCTCCTCTTTCTCCTCCTCCTGCCCCTGTTGATTCGCCAAAAAAATCACTGCCGACACCCGGACCGACCGAACCGACCTACCTTCACGAGCCCCGCGATGTCGGTGATGGTCATGTTCGGGGGCACCTCGCTGACAGGCTTGTACTTCTTGACGAGCCACTTGAACCTCTGGTCCGGCACCGGCACGATGGCCACGTTGGGGTCGATGGTGCAGAAGGGGAAGTTCTCCGCAGGCACGTGCATCTTGCCGAGGATGTTGAAGAACGACGACTTGCCCACGTTCGGCACGCCGACGATGCCCACCTTGACGTTGTTGCCCGGCCGCCCGAGCATTACCTTCTTGGGGGCATCCTCCCCCTGTGGGCATGTAGGCATGGTCGCGCGTTTTGTTAGAACATGTGCATCGAAACACAGACAAACTGCCTGTTCGAGATCCAACCACGGTCGACGGGAATGTGGTGGAAGTCTTTACAGCAGTGAGCGGGAGAAAAACCGACTGGATACATAACTCGTCTGATCGTTTGTTCCTCGTTCTGCATATCGAAAAACCTCGTTCATGTTCGGTGATATTCATTCATCCTTTGGCGATCGAAGGCAACTCCCTTGCCGCTTCGATTATGTCATTGGGGCTCTGGGAACACTAGCGGTGAAGGTAAACTGGTAGTGCCCCTCTCACAAGAGGTGAGTCTCAGAAAGAGGTGAAGCGAACAGTTTGAAAAGAACAACAGATCTGATGGGGACGGCTTTGGTGAAGCCCGATGCACGTGAGTGTGCGGCAGGACCTTATATCGGGACGTAAAAAACGAATACGTCCATGTCTCGGGACGTACGAACGGGATTTGCAAATATTGCAAGACGGTGCGCTGCTCGCGCTTCCCACCACTAGACGAACCGACACGCGTGACCATATGCGAGGCAATCGTGCAAGGCAAGGGGGAGGGGGGGCGCGCAGAGTGCGAACACCTGATGATTTTGTACCTGGCGTGGCAGGGTGATCTGGTATTTCGTCCCTTTGTGCGGAATTGTCTACATACACCGAATCTTAGACTTGTTGCTGACTATTTGTTGCGGACACCAGCAGCGAGAGGAATGCCAATGATCCAACAGCGGAAGAGGAATAGTACATGAGAGTCGCTCAGTACATGCGTCGCCCCTGCTGCTGTCGCCATCTGCCATATTTCATGTTCCGCTCGACGCCCGGCAGGCAAGAGCAGCGCAAAGGCTGATGACACCTATGCTGCGGACAAAAGCTTCTTGATCAACACCACAGGCTGTGTGGGTCAGCACCATCAACTGCAACCGCACAATCATTGGATAGAGTAGCAGAGCGGTATGACGTTCGAAGTGTTCGTGTGTGGCGCTTATTGCGCATCGCGGGTCTTCCAAAGTACTTGACAGCCTGCAAGCTAGCTGCTGCGATATCCTGCTACTGTTGTTTCGTCCTTGTGGTCCAAGCGATTCCGTTGCCACCCACTCCGCAAAAAACCGGTGCCTCGTAGTCTGGCCAAGCTTTACAAGCAGATTGCGGTCCCATGCGACGTCCAGGCCGCCCTCAGCCGAGCGATCTAGCCTAGCGGGGTGATTTCGCTGATCGTTCCCATTCGGGTGGCCTGGGATCCGTTTAAAATATCACTCCCCTTTCGCTTCTCACCTTTCCTTTCTTCGGTGGCATCGTGTAGTTCGTTGCAGTGCCTAGAGTCCTGAAATATCCGCTGGCGATAAACTTGGTAGCGAGAGAGGGAACGGCGTGGGTCGTGCTCTCTCTTGCTCCGCGGCGCTGCAGATTAGCAGATGAGGCAACCATCCGGGGGCCCCGCAAAATCTACATCGGAACCACTCCGCTTGTCGTGCGCGCACCACCGCAAGCACAGCCGCCTTGCGCCTGCAACTGCAGCACAGCAACAGCAGCAGTAACAGCAACAGTTGTTCATTGTGGTGTGCATTTATCCGGTGCACTCAGGCAGGCAGGCTGTCGCCAGAGATAAGCTTCTGCAGACTGTTGCGTGTCGAGACTACATTGATCACAGCAGCGCTAAATAGGTCCTACGGTGTACTACGCCGCTACTGCTGCACACAGAGAGCATGCCATCGAAGAAGAAGGGCGCGCCGCGCGGCGCAGGGCCTGGCGCTCGCCCTGCTGCGGCCGACCCAGGAATCGACATCGTGTTCGATAAGCCCAAGCCAAAGGCCAGAGGTCATCGCCAAAGGTCAGAAGCACGGGGTTTCAGAAGCGGCATCACAACGGAAACTTTGAAACTTAACCTTTGACTTTGCTATTGAATGTGCTGCTGATAACTGCTGCATTTACTGCATCCACACAGCAGTACAGCGCGTATTCACATATTCACACACAGGACCTTGCGGTCCAGTAATGCTGTACATGCACTGACTACTGCTGTACGAAGCCGCAACGAAGGAATCGAGAATAGACAAGAGGAGGTTCAACTGCCGGCTTGCAGTGGCACTGACATGCAAGAGTTAGGAGCGATGATCAAGGGCGAACGCAGGCAACCTACATCTACTGCACGGGCTACATGTAGACGCCCTACTGGAGGGTCCTGGTACATCGCTCGAGGATTCCAGTTCCTCAACAAGTACAATTTACCTGAACAATTAACCCCAACCCTGCGGCAGAAACGGCCACCGCTTATTGGAACGCTCCTTTTGCGCGAGGTCTGTTCCTTGTTTCATCAGTGGGAAACGAACAGCTGTCACTACTGTTGTACAGATGGGTTTTTGTTGTGCGAGTGTTTGTCGTGCTTGTCGAGGTACTTCTTGGCCCTCACCCCAAGGACCTACCGAACGGAATGATGCACGGCAAACGCACAGCTAGCTGCGGATCGTCCTTCTCGACCATTAAACAGTTACGGTAGACAGGGCGTGAAACGCAGCTTGAATCACAAAACACTTGGCGTATTCGCTCATAACTCACTACGGCTGTCCGTCGGAACTCCGAACGACCCACAGGGGAGCGGGGACGGTGATGGTGGACCGCGGCGGCGTGGAGCGGGACGGCGTGACCGTCCTGTCGTGGCAGCGCCTCCCGTCGCAGCTGGTGCAGCAGCACGCCGACCGGCTGCAGATGAAGCGGCCGCACTTCCACCCAGTCCAGCCCTCAGAACCGGTGCGTGTGCGTCGCAGAGACGTAAACAGCCAATACGCTTCCTTCCCCTGAGAGTGTATATTTGAGTCGATGTACAAACGCCCGACCGAGATGACCGCCACGCCCAGTCATTCCCCGCGCGGGCGTAGTTTTTTAAACTCTCAACCATATTGTGCCGACCGTGGATGGATAACTTAGGTACCACCGCTGGATTGTTCCGCCAACCGCTCCGCCGTTCGGTACGTGGCCTCCTCTTTCCCCGATCTGGGCCCGAAGCCACCCAGAAGAAGCCAATGGCGTCGCTCGTAGGCTGAAACACCGCTGCGGTTGGACCGACCGTCGTGCGACTGGGGTAAACCAGCCTTCCATCGGATCCCTCAATTCTTCCCCCCGACTCAAATTTAAGGAATGAAAGAGTCGTCCGGCCAATACCCCACCCCGTAGTGTTGTACTTTCCCGATCCCCAGTGACTACACCTACGAACACACGCAGCAAGATAGATCGGATCAACCGCCTGCCATGCATACATACCGTCCGTGCAGCGCACAAGGAGGACGTCGCTCGCTGTACAATCCCAACGCGCTTGTGGACCAACCATTCTCACACACACATACACACATTTTGTTGTCAACCGACGTCTTTTCATTGGTTAGCGCGGTCGATGCTAACGATGTAAAACACACACAGGGGTGGTGCGTGTGTTTGACGCGCTGAAAACACATGACACAGGGTTTTGACTGACGTCTTTTCATTGGTCAGCACGGTTGATGCTTACAATAAAAGGCACACACGGGGCGGTCTGTGCTTGCGCGTGTTCCTGGCTTTAACGAACGCAGGGCTTGTTCCGGTTCAGGGTGGTGCTCCCCGACCGCAAGAACAGCGCCAAGGACATGGCGTTCTGCCCAACCGAGTCCTTCCACACCGCGGCGCAGGGGAAGGAGCACGCGGCCCTCCTCGCGCTGCTCAAGCTGCAGGGAGACCAGCCGCTCGAGAGAAAGCTGCCGGAGCCGTACAAGTGAGGAAAGGGGGGGGGGCTCCGATATATGAGGGTTCGTTTTACGAGGGGGGCTCCAATGTAAGAGAGTCGAAATCTGTTGTCACGGGCTCAACCCTCTACTAGTATGATGTTTGTTCCGAAAAACCGGTTGTGTTTGCAGCTCTTGTCCAAAGAGAGGGGAACCGTTGCGATATTCGATTGTGTTTGCAGATCTGTCGGAAGAGAGAGGCGCGGCGGAACTCCTTTGTCGATACCGCCGGAGCTCTCAGTAAAACTGACGCGCCATCACTCCAAAGGTGCTCGGTCTTGTGGGAAAGCCTGAGTGAGGGCTGGGGACTCGAGGAATGACTGCTGTATGTACTCATACATCTTTGTTCGCCCTTTTCCCTCTTATCGTCGTTGACTGTGTTTCAGCTTTGAGTACTTTGTAAGAAGTCTACCAACGAACTGTTTTTGTCGAATGGCTTCTCAGTTCTTTCCCGCGCTGGATGTTGATCCTCCACAATACCGCCTGCTGGGGTATGCACAGGACGACATGGCTGCAGAGCGTGGCGGAGATGAAGGGCGAAGACAAGCGGCCATTGGCAAGGTAAGCTTTGTTGCGGGGCGGGGGGGCTACGGCTTTGAACGTTTTGGATTATTACGGCGGGTTGCGCCGCGTAGAGAGGGAGGCGGAGGTTCAAGTATGAATGAAAAGTTGAAGAGGAGAAGAGAGAGAAAGAGAAATAGAGAGAGAGAGAGAGAGAGAGAGAGAGAGAGAGAGAGAGAGAGAGAGAGAGAGATAAAACTGGGAGGGCTAGAATAACCACTTGACAACCTCAAGTCCTCCGCTGAGCCATTTTGCATGTTTCATGCTTCTGCCCGCCCCCCTTGCTTTTTTACAAAGGTGGGAGAAGGCGAAGAAAGCGCGAGAAGACAAGGCGAAAGAAGAGAAAGAGAAGCAGAAGGCCGAGGCTAAGCCCACCCTCGGCGACTCTCTGTGGGGGGGCTCCGTTGAGAAGGAGGAAGAAGTAAGTTGACGAATAGCGGCCGGTTCACTTCGTAAGAAGGGAAAGAAGAATGTGAAAACTAGCGGTCGGTTCACTTCGCAAGAACGTAGCGTCTTCCACCGGCCGGTAGACATTCAGGGGAAGCCAGCGCTTGTCTTTCACTCTTTGGTGCGGTGTGCGACCCCTCTCTCCCCGTTGTTCATCAGTTCTCCTTACGGAGAGGCTTGTGAGACACGCATGCTCGTTGCCACGTGTGTGTCTCGTTGCCCACCCCGCACATCGATCGATGCTCCTCTCATCATGAGTTCTAAATATCACAACGCTGGTGCCTGGTAGTCGAGGCACTGCCGGGGTACGATGTGTAGTGAGTACGAGCGTGCGAACAATCAAATGTAGTGGGTCTGTCCGCACCGGTCCCGGACTTGGACCCCCACCCCCGTCCTCTCGCCGCTTTGTCGTAACGCCCACCCGGCTGCCTCTCTGTCGCCACCTGCCGCCATCCCTCCGCGCTCGAAAACCCCGACTGACACACGACATACCGCGCAACGTTCCGTGCCACCCCTGCAACATACTGCACCATACGCACCACACAAGTCCGCACGCCACCTCATGCCAACATGACACACAACATTCCGCGCCAACCCATGGAACATTCCACACCATGTGCCGCCTGCCGCGCCACGACCCCGAGCAGCAAAAGAAGAAGAACGAAGCCATCCGAAGGGCGGCGGAGGGTCCCGCGGCGGTCGTGCTGAAGGCGGACACCAAGTACGTGTCCCGCTTCGAGGCGGACAAGGCCAGGGCCGACAAGGAGAAGGTCGTGAAGGACAGGAAGCGAAAGGCGGAGGCTCGGGCGCGGTCCAACACGGACATGAAGGTGGTGACTTGTCTCGATTTATGACCCTTTGTTTTGTGTGTGTGTGTGTGTCTCTCTCTCTCTCAGTGTGTGCTCTCTCTCTCTCTCTCTTCTCTCTTTATCTCCCTATCTCTGGGTTTCTCCTCTGCCCCGAACAAGAAAATCGCGGCAACCAAAAATTGCTTTAGGTATGCATATATAATTGTACGCGTTTCCGTCCGACGCGGGCGCAAACGGTTGTTCTTTGTGATGCCTTCGCCCCCCCCCCCCCCCCCCCCCCCC